TTTTCTAATTGATTTCTGAAGTTCTGCTGTTAATAAAGATTAATAAATGTTCAGAGAAAAAAAAAATTACAATGTAATAGAAACATAAAACTTACAATAGAGACGCGACTATATTCGAGAACTGTATTCAATAATCGTGCATCCGATTGCATTTTATACAGGGAGTATTAGAGTACTTGAATATTTCTAAGGTATTCGAGTCAGTACTCGGGTTAGCCTGACACGGCACATCACTAATGGCCACCGGCGGCCGCCACAGTAAATATTGACTTGACCACTTTCAAACCTTTCATTTCAAACTCCCGGATCCCACGGTACGTTGATTGTATGTTCACGTCTTAATTTGTAACATTTTCGTTAAAGTGTCAATTCTAATTTGATTTTATTCCGAGTGAATGCGGAGGATGTGAAATTAGTGAAGACAGATGTGTTAATTACACGTTCTATTAGGGTTTTGTCCGGCTCGAAGGACTAATTTTTGTATAGACGAGATACGTGTGAGATTCTTAGGAGTACATTTTTTTTATATACCACGAAATTCGTCTGATGGTAAGCGGCTACCGTAGCCTATGAACGCTTGCAATACCAGGTGCATTACGCGCGCTTTGCTGACCCTGAAGAAACCTCGTTACCCTTTTTTTGAAGAACCCAATACTGTAGTATTTTGAATCCTTTTTTGAAAGCTGATTTAATTTATATAAATCACTAAATAATTATATACACTAGTTCGTTAATATTACGCCTTCAGCACGAGAAACCAATTTAAAAAAAAAAACCTGCGGATTATGCAAAGTAACTGTCCACTGCTGGACATAAGTTTTCCCCAGAAGGGGAATTTTGCCAGTAGTTGCCACGATTGGCAGGTGGGTTGGCAACTAAAGTTAGGCTTTTAGAGATGCTTTAAGAGGGACGTTGCTGTCCATTCCTCGGCCACTTTTACTCGACTCTTACGACATCCACGGGAAAGGAAGGGGTGGCCTATTCTATGCCGGGACCAAACGGCTACTTAAGATTAAATTACATTTTGGAATTCCTAAAAATGTAGACTTTTTTTATACAACTTAGAATGGCAAACAAGCGGACGGCCCACCTGATGTAAAGTGGTAACCGTCGCCTATAGACATTCGCCCATGGTACCCCCCATGCGTTGCCTTTCCTGAGGACTCAGGTGTTATTCCTCCGTATCCAGTAAATTCACGCCATATTCCACCCTTCAAACTGAAACACAGCCATGCAAACACAACTGCTTCACGGTAGAAACACGAATGAGACAGAGGTACCTAAACAATCGACTTTTGTACAAAGTCTCCCTCTGGTTATTAATCTACACTCATTACACAACTTTATCTCTATGAAGAAGCTATTTCATTAATTGTAAATGAGAAATCGAAGCGAGTTAACGGGAAAGTGGCTAATAATGAAACGTGCGTGGGTGGAGCCGTATGAGACGCTTGCGGTTGCTACAATGCACTTCTGAGATATTGAAATAAATCTTAATCCTACTACGTAATATTATCCTTCTTCAATACATTATAGCATAGACAAAATATTGTTTTTTTTTTTGCGTTACGATCGCATTATCCTTTTTCAGTACATTATAGCATAGACAAAATATTGTTTTTTTTTTTGCGTACGATCGCTCGGTACTGGATCGTTCATCACACTGCCAGTCAGAATAAACACACTGCTTCACAATGGACAATAATTCAACAATCAATCTAATAAATTGATACCTACGAAGAGTGATCGAATTCAATGTGAATCATACATTGTGTTCACTAAAAATACTTCAATTATTCTTTGATTAAATGACCTTGAATTGAAATTTGAAAAAAAAACTTTCAATTAATATTGAAAGTTTTTTTTTTTTTTTAAATGGATAATAATGAAATGGTAACCCCGTTTGTGCTAATGGTATACGCTGGCGGGGCACCAGTGAGGGATGATAGGTGAGGATGAAAAGGCAGGTCGAGTAGCCAGAATTGTACAGGGAGAACCGCGAGGAGGTCGACCTGATAGAGAGTATTGCTAGTAATGGGGCTATTAATCTATATTATTAACAATCCCATCTCCTCCCTAATTAAAAGTTTACTAACAGATAGAGTGCTAGGTATATCGTCATAGTCGTAGAATACAGACGGATCTGACAAATATTACATGTTTATATTGATCCGTCAGTATTCTACGACTATAACAATATAGGTGTAATAATTATAGGTTTTTTTATGGTCGTTACCGCAGAACTCGGTCGGTGAAAATGGTATGGTAATCCCGCCTGCGCTAATGGGATACGCTGGCGGAGCACCAGTGAAGGATGATAGATGAGAATGAAAACAGGCCAGTTAGCCTATCATGATGAATTCATCAGGAATTAACCATGATAGTTTCCAGGGAGAACCGCGAGGAGGTCGACTTGATTGCGTATATTGCTAGTAATAGGATTCTAAGTCTCCCTTACTAACAATCCCTTTCCCTCCTGGTTGAGAGATTAGAACCAGCATCCCTCTTTAAACATCACCAAAACCTAACGCAACAAGCAACGCACAAGCAACTCCTCTCATGTTGCAATGTTCATGGGCGACGTTACCCATTGCCCATTAGGTGGACCGTCTACTCCTTTGCCTCCCTAACAATAAAAATAAAAAAAAAATACCAAAGCCTAACTGCGGTTGTCAATCCGTCTACCAAGCGTGGCAACTGATATGATGATGCTAATATTGAAAATCTTAAATCATCCAATGCTACCTATCTACGAATATATTGCTTATTGCTTATAAAGTTTTTGATGGTGACGAAATTGTTTCTTGATTCGTACGTAATTGTTATTTTCGGCACATACTGGTTCTGTCAATTGCAGTTATAAAGAAACAGCTTCGCAATAATTATGATCGTGTTTCACAAAAAATAAAAACCTACATACAGTTATTATATTTTTATTATTTGTTTTTAGAACACAGTGGGCAAACGAGCATGCAGCTCACCTGATGGTAAGTGACTACCGCCGCCCACGATCACCCACAACACCAACGCCATTACAGGTGTGCTGCCGGCCTTTTAAAAAGGAATACGCTTTTTTCTTGAAGGTTATGAGGTCCTTCTTCTTTTCATTTAAGAGTTTTCACTTGTCGGTGCAACTAATTTCTCCATCTTCCTCCAGCCAGTTCTATCCTAGGCCATATCCTTGACCTCCCTATACGATCGTATATATCCCTATATATCGTATCGGTTCGAAATTTAAAAACTAAACTACTGAACATATTTTGATAAAATTTCTATGAGACCAATCTGTAAGTATATCCTTTCAGATAAAAGAAGAATTTTCCAAATCGGTTCACAACTAACGGAGTTATGAGGTAATAAACGTAAAAAGAAACCAATCCAATTGATAATATCCTTCATGTTCTCTGATGGAATTCACAAAGGCTTTTTTTTAATGGGTAATAATGGAATGATAGCTTCGCCTGCGCTATCGGGATACGCTGGCGTGGCACCAGTGAAAGATGATAGGTGAGGATAAAAAGGCAGGTCAGTTGAATTAACCACGACGGTTTTACAGGGGGAACCGCGTGGAGGTTGACCTGACAGTGTGTATTGCTAGGAATAGGTCAATTAGACTTCCTTACTACCAATCCCTTTTCACAAGAACTGTAATGTTTACTATTTGTTATTGTAAAATCTAACCGATGTTGTTTGTTGCACCATATCGAATAGGGATATATCCTTTAAGGACATAAAAATAAAGGAATAAAATAAATAAAGCAATAAAGAATGTTGAAGTTAGTTGAAAAAAGAAACAAAATCATGCACAACGGCTTCGTATATCGAAGACACAAATTGAATCTTGGCTGACCATATGCGCGTGAGTGTTTCGTAACATAGCGCATATCTGCTAAGAACATTACAGTGAGTAAGTGGCAAGATGATATAAATAGCATGACTACTTGCAGCTTATCGAAGTACCAAGCAATGTTAAATTAGACATAATATGTATATTGCTGTCAATATTAAGACTTTTTTTATTTTATTTCAGAATTATTTGACCCCATAAATGTGTAATTATGATACTACTACTACTACTATGATACGCAGTTATACACAATAACGTTTTGTGGAAGGGATTGTTAGTAATGTAGACTACCAGTCTCATTGCTAGCAATACACCCTGTTAGGTCTACCTCTACGTGCTTCCCTCAAATACTAGCGTGCCAATTCCTAGGTGTATTCATCACGATGGGCTAACTGACCTGCCTTTTCATTCTCACCTATCATCCCTCACTGGTGCCCCGCCAGCGTATACCGTTAGCGCAGGCGGGGTTACCATACCATTATCATACATTAAAAAAAAAGTCACAATAACGTTTCGATATGTTTGAACAGTTTATATTGTTTTAGAACAAAGTTGATTCATTCATACTATTAGTATTCAGAGCAATTTGTAAAATTGAATAGAGAAAATAAAAAAAAATCTGAAAATACCGAATTGTAGAGAAATTAACGTGTAAGATAGATTTAACTAATGGTTTGCAGGAAGAGAATTCTTACAGAGTTAAGCTCGCCTGTTGTACATCTTTATTTCTAAATATATTTTTTAATAAATTATAACTATGTGTAAAATAAAGTATTAACCTTTTTATGCAACTTAGAATGGCGAACAAGCTGACGGCCCACCTGATGAGCAGTACCATGGACACAACAGAGTATACTGTTTCGCCCATGATACCCCCCCCCCCATGCGTTGCCATTCCTGAGAACTTAAGTATTATTCCTTTGTACCCTATAAATTTACTGCCATATCCTCATATGCCTCAAACCGAAATACAGGAAATAATAATAATGTTTTGTATGAAATTCAAATCAATGCCATTCAATTGAATGAAAAATCACATTACATAAGAAGTTAATTAAAAATGTATTCTGTTAGTTGGCGTTAGATTGATGGTAAAATACCAATAGAATATAGCACAGTCTCTTTATCAAATCTATTTAAGAACAGTACTCACCATCGACCTTCTTCGCTCTGCTTGCGAGGGTAGACGCTAGTTTCTCCAGTTCATTCCTTAACAACTGCTGCAATTGTGTCCGGGCGTTGGCTACAAATAAGTCCCCGTCCTTTTTACTACAGCACCCTCGATTTAGGCATAGACCTCCTGCATCTGAAATAGAAGAGAAATATTTTATAAATAAAAAAAAAAGACAACTTTGTATATATTTTTTAGACTGAATATGGCCCTCCCTCTCTCCCTCTGGTCTTCAATGAATGTAATCAATGAGTCAATTCACTGTCAATAAATAAATATAGCTAGATTCGTACACAATATTTGGAATAGATATGTGCGTTTTGATAATGCGTATTATATCATCGATAAGGCAGTTATAAAACGATAAGCTGTGCAAATTTAGAATATTTTTTGTGAAATTACTATTTACACATAATACAAGGGAAGTCCCCGAAACGAGTTATTTTCAGCGTAAAATTAATACTAAATGGATAGATTTTTTAGAATTAAAGATTAGAAAAAAAGTGGTATATTATATATTACAGTTAAAAGAGGAATAACACCTGAGTCCTCAGGAATGGCAACGCATGGGGGGTATCATGTGCGAAACAGTATACTCTGTTATGTCCATGGTACTGCTCATCTCTATAGGCAACGGTTACCACTTTCCATTAGGTGGGTGGTATGCTTGTTTGCCATCTCAGTGATATAAAAAAAAATATTTTATTTCCTACTTTTGAAATCTACGCGTACGAAATAGCAGGTAAAAAGCTAGTCAGGTAATAAAAAACTCTTAATTCCGAGAAGCAATAGTAATAAAAAATAGTAAAGACCCTTCAACAGTAAAAAAACGAAACAAGTGAAAAGAACAAGAGAAGAAATATGCCAGTGGCAATTGCAACTATGTTGTGATTAGCTCATATATTAGTAGGAACGTAAAGTGCTAACTATAGTACATAGTTAGTACCAATGTATAATTCTAGAATGTTCGACCTTCGACCTGTGTGTGTTAATTTTTAATTCATATAACAATTATTACTGCTAATCGTCTTGCATAAACAATATGAGTTTACAGAAGAAAGGAGAGTTATTTTCAGCTGATTTCCAAAGGAAGGTTCTCTTTTTATATGTATTTGTTACCTCATCACTCACACATCACACAGCTGTTTTTATTGTATTATATATTCAACTTTTTACTGGGTATTATTTAGTTTATCTTTAATTGTACGGTTATTACCCTTATACATTCTACAGTCTTCTTTCAGCTTCTCAAAGGTTGACTGTAAGAGATCCCTTTATGGGATAAGTCCGTCATTGTATATTAAATCATTTATCAGTGCTTAATTTGAATTATGTACAATAAAGATTTTACAAATATAGTACACTCCGTCAGTTCTAAACCGATTTTGGAAATTATTTTTCTGTATATATCCTATATTTACAGATAGATTTCATACAAATTTTATCACAAACAGTTTAGTAGTTTCGTTTTGAAATTAAACTACCTGGTTTAGGCATAAACACAGTCTTTTTTTGTTAATGGGGTAAAACTGTGGCTTTGGAAACCATCGTAGTTATTTATTTGAGGGGTTTTATTATTTATATACATATTTTTGGTGGGTTTTACAGTTTTTACCAATGCACTCACTAAAAATTAAAAAATCAAACATTATAATAATACTATCGTCTAAAGGAATCATACCCAAAAATCTTCACAAGCAGTTAGATATGGTACAAATTCCTACCAATACAATAGATTTGCTACAGAAAGCGGTCATCCTCAATACCTGCCGCATAGTCAGGAAATTTCTTTCCTCATCATTGTCATCGTCCTCATATATAATTTAAAGACAACCATGCTTGGCTAAGGCCCGCATGGTTGAACATTTACCCCCATAAAAAGGGAGATGTTAAATACAATATATATTTAAATAATAAAAATGTCTGGTCTGGAACAACATCTCAGACGGTTGGGATTCCGAGGCGGCTCACTCCCGGGAAAGGTGCAGAAAGCGATGCTCTTAGATTCTGTCCGCATTGTAAGCTGGTTTCTCTCCCTGGGGCCCGGGCCGGGGGTTACTTGTCATCTCCTCTCCTTAAGAGGGAAGATGAGAATTTTTGTGAAATAAAAAAATAAATAAAAATAAAAATCTATTTATGTTATATAAAATAAATATTAAAAAGGCATTTCTGCGTAATTTGTTATCTAATTCCTTATGTATTCGTCACGATATGCCAACTAACTTAGCCACGTGCATGATGTAGCCAGCATAAACGGTCAACGTAGTTGGTGTTTCTTTATTAAATATTTCATTGTCATCCAAACAAAAAATATAAAAATCTTTTCTAAGTTTTAAAATAAAACGTAAAATAAAAAAAAAAAAAAATACTGTTCGAGTCTGTTTCTTTGTTTACTTCTTTTAAAACACGCAACAGATTTTGATAAAGATTTCACTGTCATTTAGATTTTTTTACGATAACATTTTATACAAAGTTATGTTATGAATGGCTAACAAGCTGACGGCCCACCTGATGGAAAGTGGTAACCGTGGCCTAATTTTTTTTTATGGATGTTTTGCATTTCTGTTTAAAAATGAATGAATGAATAAGTATACTTTATTTACATTATACAATATAGAGAATAAGCAAGACAATAAATGTAACAATACAGTTGTATAAGTATGGTAAGGCGGTCTTATTGCTGAGAGCAATCTTTTCAAGCCAATCTATATCAACAACAGTTGAGTAGAGAGTTCGTAATGCGGACCAGTCTCATTGTTTTAATTTTTAATGGGTGATAATGAAATGGTAACCCCACCCGCGCTATCGGTATACACCGGCGGGGCACCAGTAAGAGATAATAGGTGAGAATGAAGCAGCTCAGTTAGCTCATCGTGACGAATCTAACAATATATCAATCACGATGATTTCCAGTGGGAACCACGAGGAGGTCGACCTGACAGGGTATATTGCTAGCAATAGGGCTACTAATCCCCATTACTAAGAATCCCTTCTCCCCCCCCCCTCCGGCCCCGTGACGCCTACGCGCTGAATTCCAGGTGTATTCATCACATGGGCTAACTGACCTGACTTAATGAAAAGACATCGTTCTTACCTATTGTCCCTCACTAGTACTTCGCCAGCGTATACCTTTTTTTTTATTGGGTGAAAAAGGAATGGTAACCCCGCCTGCGCTAATGGGATACGCTGGCGGGGCACCAGTGAAGGGTGATCGATGAGGATGAAAACAGGCCTGTTAGCCCATCATAGTGAATTTATCTGGAATTAATCATGATAGTTTCCAGGGGGAACCGCGAGGAGGTCGACCTGGTTGGGTATATTGCTAGCAATGGGATTCTCAGTCTTCATTACTAACAATCCCTTTCCCCCCAGCGTATACCGTTAGCGCAGGCAAGGTTACCATTCCATTACCATCCATTAAAAAAAAAGTGTAATTACCTGCGAATGCTAAATATGGATGTAAAAATAAATTTGATACCTACAGTACATATAAGGTTGTGCTATTGTGTAATTTCAACATAAAAAGGTTTATCGGTGCATGACAGGTGCACGATAAATTGAATTTTTATCACTTTTTTTTTCTATATTTGCAAAAACACGATAACACCACACTGCAATATTCATATTTTATATAGCGAAAATTATTATGCAATTTTAAGATTTTTACTTCGCAAATGACATAATTTTTTTGTGTAAATGGGTAACTTTTATTACTTTCTAAGTAGCTAAACTCATACATTAGTAATAATATAAAAAAATCTATAAATATTAACTAAATATTTAAGTTTTCATTATGCCATACGAATTTGTCCATAAAAAAGTTCGAACAACAACATGGACATCTCTTGCCCGCCGGATGATGTGTGGGCGGGCGAGGTAGAGGCCTCGGGGTGTACCCCACTACCCCGGCTTCTACTCCGGAGGCGACGACCTCCGGGTCACTGGGTTTCTTCAGCCGGCATAAAAAAGTTCGAAATATTAGCATAGCATAGAAAGGCGAATGAATTCTTTATTTTATTTGCATTCTTACGTAGCTTAAAAGTTTTTTTTTTTAACAATGCGTTTCCTGTTTGTTAGTGGCATAATAGCCATTTGCAAATATTAAAAAAAAAGATAATTCAAATTGAGAACCATAGATTAAGGATACCTGCGGTCGGACATAATTTAAATTGAGAGACGTGTGTAGCACTGGTTGCAAATCAAAATCAAATATCTACAATAAAGAAAAATTCAAGACTAAGCACATGCCAAATAAATATAACCTATCTGAAGCAGACAGATCGAAGGTGAAGGGCGGGAGGACATGCACCCTCTGGAGGGTCGTAGACGAGTGGGACACAAATGAGTTTAAACATCCATAGGACTCGCTTTATTGCATTACTGGCTTCATAGAGGGATGGCAGTTGCGCCACAGAATATATAATAGTACTTACATAGCTTCGCAATGAATTTTAGAAATAAAGAAATACATCTTAAAGTTCATTATTGTATTTCGATGTAATAAATGAATAAATAAAAAAAATACTTATCTGTAGATATCATTAAACTTCGATACAAAAATAGATATGTATATTTATCTATATCTATATATATATAATCGTTTATCTGTCTATCTAACTATCAACGAATGCCCCAAACTACTAAGTCTAATAAAACTGACATTTGAAACATAGTTTATTTAATAACATGGGCATCGCTTAAGAAAGGATTTTTGAAAATTTCAACTTTAAGTATTTATTTCATATATTTATTAACAGTATAAAATAAGCCTATTAAGTTTCAACCTTAACTTATAACAGATAAAGTTGTTTATTGTTAAATCATCGTTGTATAGTGTATACCCATACTTCAATAAGTAACAACAATGCCTAAACAAACAAATAACTCATTGAATTTCAATTCCATAGTTCCAATCGTGCTTCCTACCGCTGAGACAGGATCAACTTAGATTGCTGATTTACATCCCATATGAGGTGTCAAACAATTTTAGCCATTATGTCACAGCGATATAAATTATACTTTTGTAATTCTTATATCCGTCTACCTAAAATTAATATTGTGGTACAAATGTTAAGACGTAGCTGTGGCAAGTTCATTAAAAAAGTCCACTTTGAATTTTAATTAGTATTAATAGTAACATTTTAATAGTTATAACAATACTTTGAAGTAGATAATAAAACAAAACAAAATTTAAAAATGAAGTATCCTTTATTTAAAGGTACGAATCCCTACTCATTAAGTAAGAATTATGAGAAGCGAATGTTAAATGCTTATATAAAAGTCTTTGACGCTGTTCAATTCTGCAGTAATTCTGCAGTAATTCTGCCGTAAAACTAAATACTGTTATTAGATATTGGAATGACAACGCATAAAGGATATAATGCGCGCACAGTATACTCTGTCATTTCCATGGTACTGTTCATACTGTGTGTAGGCGACGGTTACGACATTCAATCAGGTGGAGCGTCAGCTTGTTTGTCATTCTAAGTTGCATAAAAAATATTTTATGTCTTTCTGACCGAACTTCTGTCTGGTCGTCCAATAAAGGAATTAAATTGTTAGCTACGACGCCATTACCAATCTTATTTTTCAAATTTTGCATTCCAGAAGCCGTCAATAGACTCTTTTCAAAACTGAACTGGGTTTTATGACTGAATTATTCAATTTCAACAATTAGATCTCACATTTAGTTTTAAGACTCTTGTATAAGCGTAAGCGTTTATTTATTGCTTTCAGCCACGCCAGTCGCTTATAACACGAAGCAAATGTTAAGAAGGAACAACGCTAAACTAGGGGCGACGTGTCTATTGACACTGGCTTTAACTTGACTCATTGCATCTTTATATTTATGTTTACTGCCAGCATTTAGTACGGGAAATGCATATTATTAATTCGTAAGACGGTTTGATATTATCACTTTGCAGTGTCATTTTAATATTATAATTTTTTAATCTGTAAAGCGTCCTCCCGTCGATGGATTGTTTTGAAAGTTTACAGTTTCAATCAACAGATTGATTATTAAGACGCTTATCTCAAAAATGGATTGATACATCAATCGCAGATAGGAAATTTTGGATTAGGATTGATTATTCATTTCGAGCGTAAGTGAGATACAATAGCTTTAAACGTAGGCGATGGTGTGGCCGTGTGGTCCCCGAATAGAATAGGCCACTCATTCCTTTCCCGTGTATGTCGTAAAAGTCGACTAAGGGTGGGCGAGGGATGGGCAGCAGCGTCCCTCTGACTGCGGTTGCCAATCCGCCTGCTAAATGTGGCAATTACTGACAAAACTGTGTGTACATGTGGTGGCAAGTTTATCTGATCAATACATTAATGTACTTGCATGTTATAGTTTAAGTTTGTATTTGTAAACTTCTGTTATGTGCGCCAAATAAATGAAATCAAATAAAATAAAACCCCCCAAGGGGGAGGCTTACGTTCTGCAGTGGACAATTAAAGGCTGATATGATTAAACGTTTTTTTTTTGTTTTATGGGTGAAAATGGTATGGTAACCCCACCTGCGCTATCGGTATACACTGGTGGGGTACCAATGAGGGATGTTAGGTGAGGATGAAAGATCAGTCGGTCCATTGTGTCGAATTTAATAAGACTTAATCACAATGGTTTCCAGGGGGAACCGCGTGGAGGTCGAATAAGGTATACTGCTAGTAATGGTACCGTTAGAACCCATAACTAACAATCCCTTTCCTCCCGATATGATGAAACATAGCTGATGTTCGAGCAAAACGTATTCAACTCCGGTTTTTTGGTGTTACACACATCTGCTCCCACGTGATTCTCAAATGGGGTTGGTGAACAAGCAGGCTTTAATTAGTGATAAAATCGAACATTTGAACCTTTCTACAAATGACTACTGAGGGCATAACAATGCGACGCGCGTTAATCTCGAATCGTTAACGGTTTTAACTGAAGTAAAATATTTTTATGCGGGATATCTATTTCTTCCGGGTGGTCTTAATTTTTTTTTTTGTTTCTATTTAAATATCAGAGGGAACCTTTGTAGAAAAGTCGTTTGATTGGGTATCTCTGTCCTATTCGGGTTTTTAGCGTAAAGCAGTTGTGTTGGCATGCCTGTGTTTCGGTTTGAAGAGTGGGATATGGCAATGAAATTACAGGATACAGAGGCATAACACCTTAGTCCTCAGGAATGGCAACGCTTGAAGGGTATCATGGCGAGACAGTATAAATTGTTATGTCCAGGGTACTGCTCATGTTTATAGGCGACGGTTACTACTTTCCATCAGGTGGGCCGTCAGTTTGTTTGTCATTCTATGTTGCATAGAAAAAGGATTTGTCTTCTCTAAGGTTATATAGCGTTACTATGCCTTTACACCTGTTATTTCGTGTGGTCCCGGCATAGAATAAGCTACCCTTTCCTTTCCCGTAGGTGTAGTAAGAGGCGATTAAGGGTGGGCGAGGGATGGGCAGCAATGTCGCGCTTAAAACATCTCCAAAGCCTAACTGCGATTGCCAATCCGTCTGCTAAGCATGGCAACTACTGGCAAAACTCCCCAAGGGGAGGCTTATGTTTAGCAGTGGTCAGTCAAAGGCTGATACGATGATGATGATGTGCCTTGACACATCTTATTAGATTTATTTCTAAAATGTATGTAGATTCTATTTTTTTTTATACCACTGAGGTGGCAAACAAGCATACGGCCCACTTGATGGTAAGTCGCTACCGTAGTCTACGAACGCCTGCAATATCAGGGGTATTATGCGCGCATTGCCGACCCTAACCCCCCCCCCCCCCCCCCTCCTTGAAGAACCCCATGCTGTAGTCTCTTGGGAAAACTTCAGTAGGGAGCTCATTCCATAACCTGAGTGATCGTAGGAGAAAACATTTCTGAAACGGCCTTGTACGCGACCATTTAGGCTGTAAGATATGAGAGTGAATTCCCTGTTGATGGCGAGTTCTAATAATTATACTGCACTTGTATAGAAGAGAAATATTTTTGTACAGCCATGTCGCGGCTATTCTTAAAACATAATTCAGTCCGCTTTAATCTCGGTTGATGTAAGACAAATAAACACACCTCTTCCCCGGACGGTTGTTTGAACAAGCTTCGTCTCGATTATACACATTCTTTGGGTATTAAACGTACAACATGCGATCACATGTAAAATTTACTCGTATTGTAAAGTCGTTTGCTTGGGTATCTCTGTTCCATTCGTGTTTCAAACGTAAAGCAGTTGTGTTTGCATGGCTGTGTTTCGGTTTAAAGGGTGGGATATAGCGTGAATTTACAGGGTCCAGAGGAATAACACCTGAGTCCTCAGGAATGGCAACACATGGGGGGCGGGGGTATGATGGGCGAAACAGTATACTCTGTTATGTCCATGATACTGCTCATGTCTATAGGCGACGGTTACCACTTTTCATCAGGTGGGCCGTCAGCTTGTTTGCCATTAAAATTACATTCATGTAGAAAAGTTTAAAGAATCAAAATTTAATGGCTTTTAAGTTGAAGATCACCACTTATTATTGTCATTAAATCAGTTTTCAATCGAATTTAAAAAGAAGGTTCCCAGTTCGGTTGAATTTTTTTTTGTATCTGTCATCCATTAATTCAGTCAATTAATTCTAAACTGATTTAGAAAATCATTTTTTTATCTCAAAGTGTATAGTTACACATTGGTGTCAGAAATTTTATTAAAATCGAGTCAGTAGTTTAGTTTTTAGAATAAAATAACTGGTTTTGTTTAGTTTAAAGTTGTTTTTTTTCTGTGGGGAAAAAATCTTTAATTATTATCACTAATTTATTTGTTACATGATTATCTACAAAATTTGACAATCATTTAATTTTTAATTAATAAAAAATATTAAATTAATTATTTAATTAAATGTGAAAAATGAAGCTAACCCAACACATTTATGTTTATGGTTTATTATTATCACTAAATATCAATTTTGTTAAATACTCTATGGTTAAACTTTTACTTGGACTTTAGAATTTCCTCAAGATAACAGTTAATTCACTAAAATATATTACAGTATATTTATTTTTATCTTATTTTACACTTTATTGCACCATTTATAAAATTAAATTTTATTTAACAGAATCGTTTTCCTTGAATGAGTAATTACATTGTTTTAAAACAAATTTAAATTAATGTTTATTCTCAGTTGTGGTTAACTGGGATTGTGTTGTAAAGTATTCAATTAAAACGTTTGTGAGTAATGGGGTATAACGACCTTAATGGTAGCAATATACACTATCAGCTTCTTCAAAAGGGGGGTAAAGAGGTTTCTTCAGGGTTGGCAACGCACGTTTAATACCTCTGGTATTGCAGGTGTTCATAGGCTACGGTAACCACTTACCATCAGGTGGATCGAATGCTTGTTTGCCACCTCAGTGGTAAAAAAAAACCCTCCACGTGGTTCCTCCTAGAAAGCACCGTGATTAATCCTTGATTTCGTCGTGATGGGCTAACTGACCTATTCATATCCTCGCGTATCATTTCTCATGCGGACGGGGTTATCATTCCATTTTCACTCATAAAGTGCGCAGTTGGACAGACAGACGGACAGATAGTTTAGACGTGTGCCTAACATTTCGAGACGTCGATGTCCGTCGTTGGCCCATCAATTGCACTCGATTTTGTCAAGACGCGATGAACTGATCACACAACGTGTCGATATGTTTGTCATTTCGACGACAGATCGCGTACACGTGTTACTCGTAATAACATATCTCGAATTTTACGCACTTGATAAATATTTCAAGTACTAATTAGCGTTAAGAGTTAAGCTTTTTAAGTAACGTGTGGTATAATAAAAAGTTTTTTTTTATACCACTGTGGTGGCAAACAATCATACGGCCTGATGTTAAGCGGTTATCATAACCTATAGACGCCTGTAATACCAGGGGTATTATACGCGCGTTGCCGACCCTGAAGAAACCTCTTTACTTCCTTTTGAAGAACTTCACGCTGTAGTTTCTTGAAAAAACCTCGGTAGGGAGGTCATTTCATAACCTGAGTGTTCGTGGTAGAAAACATCTCTAAAACCGCATTGTACGCGACCTAGGAAGTAGTTTAAAAATAGTAGTTTCTGAGCTTAATATAAAAATGATTCATTCCATACTACGAACTCTATAGTACGAATGAATCGCCCCCTTATCGTCCAATGCAAGTGGGGTAATAATTTCATTTCATGGTACTTCTCGAGGCGCTGAGCGTTAATATTTTCGCGCGCCCCTCAAGAGCCCTCCGGTGCGAGATTGGCGCCAACTTAACATTCAAACAGATTATAAAGAACTGCGCAGATTCGCAAAGGGGCTTTGTGTAGTCGAATAAACGATTTGTTATTTCAAAATAATTATTAAGCGACACAATTAATTGTACCTATTCTGTTCTGGCGAAATATTGGGACTGTTTTTAGGGGAAGAGTCAAGCAATTTTAGACTTTGCAACTTTTGTCGACGTTTTACAATAGAGTGAAATATAAAGAAAAGGCAGGTACTGTGTGTTAATGAGAGAAATAATTAAATTATTCGTGTTGAAAGGGAACACGGGAACGGTTGTTCGTTAGATTCGAAATAGTGACAAGACAATAAATAACCTTTTGTTCTCTTTTTATATAATTTTAATAAAGAAATTTGAAATTATTAGTATAATCTAATAATTTTGTCTTAAAGTTTTTATTTATCACTTAGCATGGGAAACAAGCTGACGGAAAGTACCTGATGGAAAGTAGTAACTATCGTCTTAATTCATCTAACGTGCCAAATTTATGTACATTAACCACGATGGTTTTCAAAGGGAACCGCATGGGGATCGATTTCTATCTCTCATTGCTAGCAATGGGGCTACTAGTGCCCATTAATAACGATCCATTGTCCCCCTTCGCCTATACGAAGTACGAACAATACTATGGTATCCTTTGTTCCTTGCGAATTTTGAACACAAAAGACTAAACTAAGGTTTCTTCCCTCAAACAACTCTGCCGTTTTTAAAATTAGTTCGTCAAACGATGTTTAAATGCAAAATCTCTTATAAATAAATATCCACATAAATGAATGTTTTGATAATTAAATAAACAACATTAAATCTTTTGGAGAAAACAATAAATAGTGTCTATCTATCTATTAAAATATACTCGTATTTAGTGGTAAAAAAATTGTTCAAGGTCCTATAAATTAATTCAAATAAAAGATAATTCTAACTTGGAGGTACTCGTATATTTGTCTATGGTACATTAATATTCATACCATAAACTAAAGATACCTTCGGTCTTAAGTACGGTCCATAACTATCTAAATAACAAATTAATTGGAGGGAAGAGATTAGTGACGGCGATTATTGCAAGTAATTTAGCAGATCGACTTCCTTATGGTCATACTGAAGTCATCGTGGTGAATTCGTCACGATGGACCCACTGACCTTAGTTCAACCTTACTTATAAATCCTCACTAAGGTACCTTGCCAGCTTGAATCAGTAATGCAGGGATAGTATTCTATATTCAAACAAAAAAAGGTTGAAGGGAAAGGGATTGTTAGTAATAGAGACTGAGAATCCCATTGCTAGCAATATACCCAACCAGGTCGACCTCCTCGCGATTCTCTCTGGAAACTATCATAGTTAATTCCTGATGAATTCATCATGATGGGCTAACTGACCTGTTTTCATTCTCATCTATCACTCTTCACTGGTGTTCCGCCAGCGTATTCCGTTAGCGCAGGCGGGGTTACTATACCATTAACAACCATAAAAAAAAAAACATTAAAAAAGGGGGAAGCGATTGTCATCAGATCAGGTCGACATCATTTGTGGTTAATTCTTGTTCAATTTATCACTATGGACCAACTGATCTGCCTTCATCTACACCTGTCACAATGCACTAGTGATTCGTCAGCGTATACCAATAGCGCAGGCGGGGTTACTATTCCATCTTCACCCATTAAAAAAAAAACATTAAAAAAAATTAAGACGTTCCATAGTAACCGCACACAAATGAAGTATATTTGATTTAATGGTCAAAAGGAATGGCCCGTTAAATTGTATTTATTTGTGAAAACAATGATTACAGGGTTCCACCGGCCGACCACCTGCGAACAGATTGGATACAAAATTACAAGGGACACGAATCATGGTGTGGTTTGCCGGCTACACCGAATGGTAAACAGTTATTCACAGTGCAAGCTATGGTGTAGGTACTGCCTAGTTTTGAATGCAATTTCGGCTGGAAAGACCGGGTAAAAACTTTAGCTGTTGCTATATATATAAATACATATATTTGTGTATAAGTACGTATGAAGATTTATTATAGTAGTTTTAAAATTAAATACCAATATATATGTATGGTATCAGTTTTTTTTTATACAACTTAGAATGGCAAACAAGCTGACGGTCCACCTGATGGAAAGTGGTAACCGTTGCCTATACACATGAACAGTACCATGGGTATAACAGAGTATACTGTTTCGCCCATGATACCCCTCATGCGTTGCTATTCCTGAGGACTCAGGTGTTATTCCTCTGTATCCTGTAAATTCACGCCATATCCCACCCTTCAAACCGAAACACAGCCATGCAAATACTACTGCTTCACGGTAGAAACACGAATGGGACAGAGGTACCCAAGCAATCGACTTTTGTACAAAGTCTTTCTCTAACTGTCCACTAGTGAACATAGGCTTCCCCTACGAGGGGCTTTGCCAGTAGTTGTTGAGGGATCGGCAGCGTCTTAAAACATCACCAAAAACCTAACTGCGGTTGCTAACCCGTCTGCCAAGCGTGGCAACTACTGGTAAAATCCTCCTTCATGAAGGAAGTCTATGTTCAGCAATGGATAGTTAATTGCTGGTATGATGATGATCTGTGTAGATGTAGGTCTTGGCATAGAATAGGCCACCATTTCCTTTCCCGTGGGTATCGGAAGTGGCGACTAAGGGAGCTTATAGTCGAGGGATGGGCAACAGCATCTCTCTTAAAACATCACCAAAAGCCAAACTGCGGTTGCCAATCTGCCTGCCATGCGTGGCAACATACTGTCGCCAATGTTCTAAGTCGCATTCAGTCTATGACAACAACGGATACAATGGGTGTCACAGTATATATTCTACTGTTCGTGTCTATAGGTAACAGTTACCTATTGACGTACTTTAGATTATTTATAGAGGGAGCTTGACTCTTTAAAAACAGTGCATATGTACTCTCAGATATGCCTTTGCCTTTAGCTGAAAGCTTCTCTCCTGGTTCTGGGGTACAATTATGGGGTAGGCATGGATCACGTGACCTCCCCTTCAATATGACGTAAGCTTGACTTTTGCACCTAGACTTTTTCTATAACAAACAAGTATCTACGCAGCATAGATACTGAAACACAAATAGATACATTTGCGCACGCTCTATCTCAACTTTACATCATTCATCACACTTCTAGCCAGACTAAACACACTATTCAATCTTATTAATATAATAAAATATTAATTGAACGATGTCTGTACATGGAAAATCATTATACCATCATATCAGCCTTTAACTATTACCTGCTGAACATAAGCCTCTCCTTTGAAGGTTTTGCCAGTAGTTCTCAAGCTTGGTAGATGAATAGGCAACTGTAATTAGGCTTCGATGATGTTTTAAGAGAGACGCTACTGCCCATCCCTCGTTCTCACTTAATCGCCTCTTACGACACACACGGGAAAGAAGGGGTTAGTCTATTCTATGTCGACACCACATGGACATGGAAAATATTTAAGAAAAGGAAGGAAAGATTATTTATTTAATACACGACGCACCTTTTTAGTATCCTTTTTAATTTTATTAAAAATAAGTTTTTGTTTATAATTTGAAGTCTGTGTCAGTTTAGTTTTTGTTTCGTTCGCTTTTTTGCTCTCTTGATTTGCTTTGATTATTTTTTTTTTATATATAAATATATTATCTTTCTAAAAACACCGTGTTTCCATACCAGCATATAAGTATGGAAACATCGCTCGTCGATTCGCTCACAGGTATTGTAAGATGCTTAGGAGCAATAGTAGCCAAAACAAATACTTTTAGAAATTTCGTTTGCCTGTCTATATGTTTAGACATCACGCAAAAAGTACTAAACCAAATTGAATGCGGTTTTCACTGTTGTGTTCTTGATAATGTAACTTAAAAACTGGTGTATATTTGATTCCGATACACCATCTAAAAGTGGTCTTAACAATTCTGAAAACGAAGTGTACGTAGTAACGTGTAAAAAGCTAGTAGGCAATGATTCAACAATCAACTGTATAGATAGATATATATAATCTACCAGGTAGGTAGATTATAAGAAAATTGTCTGTTCTTACACCGCATAGTAAAAAAATATTACGAAAATAATTTCGGAAAGAAGGTTCTCGATAAAATTGTGTTACACGGTCAAGTAGGAAATTTTAAATTGAATTTGAGAAATTTTTTGACAATTCATAGGGCTGTTTAAAAGTTATGGACAGGCCATTGCAAAAAGAACGACCATAATTCGTTTTATAAAAAAAACTTCAATTATGGCAACATATTTTTTTTTTTATTTAAAAACTAAACTACTCAATCGATTTTACTAAATACTATATAGAATCAATTTGAAAGTATATGTTTTCAGATAGAAGAGAAATTTTCAAACCAATTTGTAAATGGCAGAATTATGAGGTAATAAACATAAAAGAAAAACAATCAAATCGAGAACCTCCTCTTTCTTTGAAGTCGGTTAAAAAGGCAACGCAATCGAGTGCTTACCATAACCATAAAAGAGTTCAGGCGAATTAAAAACTTTCTCCTTTTGGAACTTACTTATAAAAAAAACCTATAAAATTTTACTATATCTTTTAATATATTGTTATTATAAATACGTAATGTAAAAGTTTTTAAAATTATTGTTATTCAATTAATTACTTGAATAATAAGTTATTTGTTTATTATTACTCAAAGCACCGTCAAATGGTTGTGTTGATTTAAAAAAAAATCTATACACAAATACCCACATTATCCAGTTTTAAAATATATATTTTTAATCTATTATAATTATGAACTAAGTAATGTCATCCATATAAAAAAATATATGAAACGAAATTTCAAATCGTACACGTTAACAAATGTGAAACGTGTGACAGAGACAGGTATAGTGAAATCGTAATGGCCCTACGTAATTACATAGACCACCCGCGAGATCTCGCTCGCACCGTCCATTATGGAGGGATTTTTTATGGAAAATAATAATCGACACAATGAAGTCATCAAACGAAACACGGACACACCGCGAGTGGCCCTTGGCGCTGCTAATGTCTACGTAATCGATTAAATTAATCTAAGATAATATTACAGTATCGATTGGCTATCGATTACTAGTGGAAATGTGTATTGATGACGTAGGAAGTCATAAATTACAGTTAATGTTTAATAAAAACACTTTTAGCCACAAAAGATACCCATATTTGGTACCAGCATTATTTTTATCATGTTTTCACATCGTGGAGTTTTTTTTTTGTTTTATTGCACTATAAACTGTATCTAATCATAGGTAGATTTTTAACCGAATATCATTCCATATTTGTAAATAATTATTAATTGTAGGTATATATTTACTAATAAATACTTTTTTATTTATTCATTACTTATTTATTTAACACTTTATATGTATTATTGTATACAGATATGTATGTATTTTGATTTTAATTATATGAGTTACTTTGTATATATGTCAACATATTTATTATTTCTTAATAGAAACAACTACACTGTTTCCTCCTATTATTGTACGCACACTGCCCGCTAGTAATTAATGCTCCTTTCCACACAGGGTTTGCTGGAAGAGAACTCTTATAGAGTGAAGCTCGCCTGTTTATTTTTTTTTTTATTTAATATATATTATATGTTTGTAATTCTTTGTGTACAATAAAGAATAAAAAAATAAATTTATTGCACCAATATTACAGGATTTGTTGAAGAATTTTCAATAAGTATAGTGTAGTACAAAAGTCGGTCTTATTGTTAAGCAATCTAATATGGATGAATTAATATCATATATACGATATATGTTCATTGAATATTTTTCCGTACTTTTTTCTTTTACAAATTTTCAGTTTTTCTAGACAACAAAGTCATATTTGTAGATAATTAGTAAGGCTTAATTATTTATTCCAATTATTATTTTTTTTTTTGGGAAATGTGAAGTTTTACTAGTACAAAAGAGCTTGCGGTTTGCTTTCAGATTGTATACAATATAAAAGACAAATTAAGATATCAACGAGAGTAAAAAAATTAAATTAGCTCGAGCAATGCGCATTTCCTCAGCGGAAGAGTTGTCCGTCTGTGACCATCGCAATTCCCTACCGTTACGGACGATTCAGTTTTCCGGAACGCACAACACTAGCCCATTGTGCTGTGGAACGGGTGTGTGAGAACAAGAAAAAGGATACACAATTATAGAATTTTATTATCTATGGATAATGGAAGAGATCCGAGGTATAATGATGATTTGGAGCGATTAGACTGAATTAATAATAGAAAAAAAAAAATAGAAGTTATTATTCAATTAAGGATAAATTCTATTTCTAAATGAAGATTGTTTTTAATTCGTACGATTTTTTTTTATATAAAATTTAAGAGACGTTCATCACCTCAATTGTGAGTTGATTTTAATTTTTTTTTTTAATTTAAGAATTTTCTCCGTGTTGTGTATAGATGCTGTCAAATTTGTAATCGGTTTTATGTAAATTTATTATTAAAAATTCAAGACATAAATGGAAGTAAACAAAATATAATATTATGTCTAAATTACTTAAATTGGATACTACATAGGAATATGGTATGTTCACGGCATAGAATGGGCCATCCCTTACTTTCCTGTGAGTAGCATAAGAGACGACTAAGAGAATTATATGATCGAAGGATGCAGCAGCATCCCTCTCAAAATATGTATCATCAAAGTTTTAAATGCAATTGCCAACTCCCCTGCCAAACGTGGGCAAAAGCCTCCTTATGGGGAGGCCTATGTTCAGCAGTGGACACAGTGGACAGTTAACAGCAGATATGATGATGGTGATGATGATGATACCTAACTATAATGATATAAATATAATTATAAATAAGTTCTATCTAGGCAACTACATTTATGTAAATACCTTTATATACAGATATTAATATATAAATAATATGTAGACATTAATTATTGTTATTTAACTACATATTAAAAAAATGAATACTCAGTTTGATTTTCATAATAAAACCTAATACTTTGTACAATTGTATATAGAATTAGACACTACCCATATCAAAAGTACCAAAAGTTCGCGAACTGTTACAAGTGTCCAACACTAAACATGAGGTAGGTACGCAGTAATAAACTGCCTCAACAAGTCTGAAACAGACATTAAACCCATCCGAGGCGTCCAACAAACTTACAGGTCAGTGCTGAGGCCGAGGCCGCTACATTTTAGAGACAAGTAGATTATAATGTACGATTTACACCAAACGTTGCGCATTAGAGCGCATTTTACAATGTGTTGAAGGAAATTACTTTTTCAGTAATGTTTATTTTATATTTGTACGACACTTAGAGGACCCGTCAGATGTGCGCGCATTCCGCGGAATGCTGTCGGCAACAGCTGCATTCCATGACATGTCGAAGTCGGCTGAATGAGTGGGAATTCCTGGAGCAGATTTTCATTCTTTTTCAACCGAACGCGGTTAGCAGTCGACGGATGTGGACTAAAGCCGTCCAAGCACGCGTTTCAATGCGGACCGTTTGATGTAAATCGTACATTTATTTTATTTAAAGGTTAAAAGTACACAAATTGTTACTATGCCCCATTTCTATACATTTTATAATATGTATTGTATCGATGTAACACAGTCTATACAGACGCGGCTCTAAAATCAGAAACTAAATATTATCTATTCTTGACTTCGTTGGGAGTAAATTTTGTTTATTTATAATATAGCTAACCAAGTCCATGGTTAGGCTTCAAAGCTGATGTCTGAAGATATTTTCCCAGCAAAAGAGGTCAATTACCGATGAAATTTTTAAGTAATAATGGTTTACATTGATGAGTTGTCGGTGAAAGATGGTAAGCGAAAATAAAGTCGTCTCTTAGCGGCGAATTTGCCAGGAATTAATAGCTCTGGTTTCCATAGGGACCACCGGATCGAATGGAGAGTATTATTTTTATTTTTTTATGCAACTTAGAAAGGCAAACAAGCTGACGGCCCTCCTGATGGAAAGTGGTAACAGTCACCTATAGACAGAGCAGCACCATGGACATATCAGAGTGTACTGTTTCGCCCATGATACCCCCCATGCGTTGCCATTCCTGAGGACTCAGGTATTATTCCTCTGTACTTAAAAAAATACTACTATATCCCACCCGGTGAGCATGTGGTATGCAAATAAAATATAATTAAATAAACATAAAATAAAATATAAATAAATGTCTATGATCATGCAAATATTATCGTCGGCAAATAAAACAAATACAATATGAACAATAATGATTGTATTTGCATACATTTTATATCGTTCGAACCTATTTCCTTGCAATAAATCAGTATAAAATCGCGCCAGTACACGCAAAGTCTCTATTACAGCTATATTTAGGTAACTAACAATAACGGATGAATGAACGGAGTTACTTTTGTTTAAAACAATAGAATTGAAAATATTTATTGTCAGAAAAACACAATTACAACAGAAAATACATATATAAGAAGGACTCTCATAAAAGGAACTGGCTCAGCTGATGCTGAGAGTGTCCCAGTGCAATGTGTACAACTGGGGTTTTCACCGCGGGTTTTCAGCCAGTCTCTCTCTTGACAAAATACAACAAAAATATGTACAACAATTGCCTCGTACAAGAATTATATATTTATATAATATATATATATATATATATATATATATATATATATATATATATATATATATATATATATATATATATATATATGTTGATTGTTCACTACTTGTGCAATTTTGTGCATCACTTGAGAAGGTCTGGATGACTGATTGGGATTTTTTTTAATTACTAATACTATTATAAATTAAAATATAAAATTATAGTTAATAATACTTAGTATGATTAAGGTTATTAAGAGACAGAAAAAAATATTTAATATATTATTTAATATTATATATATATATATATATATATATATATATATATATATATATATATATACATATATATAAACAAATGTCATAAAACTTGATGTTAGAGGCGGAAAATTATGTCTACTTACTATACTTTCTGCGAAATGTGCGAAATGTGCCCAAGTTAGGCATCGATGATTCCTAGAAAATTGTTCTGTTTATGACTAGATTTATTGGCAGAATTATTTACAACACAAAATAATGAACACTGAGCCTCGTTTAAACTACACAATAACCATAAATCAGTAATCTATTTTAACTATAACACCAAGAGCAGCCCGAACCATCGAAGAATGCACTAACTGCACGCATGTAATTATAACACTTTGGTTTTTTTACACATTTTGGTGAGTGAGTAAGCGTTGGATAAGGTTGCCTCCGAGTGCAATGTACAAGGACCAGTATTATTTTAATTATACTTCGCGCTTCGTCCTCGAGATTATTATTTGTAGAATATAAACAACATGTAGTAACGCACAAGTGACACCGCCCCTGCACTATTGTTGAGAGAGGGATTCCCCCTTTTTCCTTTTTCTTTTTATTCCCCGGTAGGTACATAGTCTACTTAGCCCGTTCATTTCATTTCCTGTTCATTCGCAATTTAGTGCTTCACCGCTCCGCACATAATACATCGCGTTGTCGTGCTATTAAAAAAAAAAAAAAAAAAAGATGCCAAAAAAGGAATAGTAGTGATCTCAACGACCCAACATTCAACATTACATAGTGTCGTTGTAGACCAGGTATTTATTTTCAAAACTATATCTATACACAAAAGTAATTTTTGTCTCCAGAAGAATGCAATCGAGATAGTCATATGGGCTATATCACCGCATTCAACGAAATGGTTGACGTGCAATTCAGCGGGAATTGTACACAACAGCCGTGTTTCGATAACTTTCGTTATCGCATTTTCAAATAACACCCATAAAAGGATATAACAAATATAAATATAGAATTTCATTTTTAATAAAATATTTTTAAATAAATTATTGGCAATATATATATATAAAAGAGAAGTCGTTACTTTTGATTTCAGTTATAGAGAATATTTTATTATAGGGGTGTATTGTATAAACAATAATACTTATTGGAGACAAAAAATATTAGGTTTTAACGTATCCACGTTAACAATGTTAGTATGTACCCAGAGCCGTTATCAGGACGAACTCGACACATACTATACTTTTTTATACAATTGCATAAATTTATGCATATACACATCATATATTTATATATTATACGATGCATATGTCAGAGACGCCTCAATTAATAGCGGAATCAGTAGACTGGTTAATAGATCCTCCTGAGGAAGAGATACTAGAACCAGAGACTGTAAACCTTCCATCAGACGATGTAGATGTGATTCACGATGCGTTAACGTATCCAGACGGTAGGGAGTCTGTAGTAAAAAATAATCCGATTACGGATCAAGACGCTGGTCAAAACTGTCCAGGCCCGTCAAATATGGAGCCTCAGTAGCTAGATACTGAGACTTTAGAAATTCTTGGAGTCGATCCAACGTGTACTAATAATTATGGTAGCGATGTCCATAAAGAAATGCCATTGCGATTTCAACACATCGCCCAAGAAGGAATTAGTAAAGAGCTTAAAAAATAATTAGTAAATAAATACCCACTACCAGCTAACTGTTTACTTGTAGTGCTCCCACAATAAATCCCGAGATAAAAAGCAGAGCTTCCAGAACTAGCTACTACGCGTGATAAAGGTATTGAGATAAAAAAGAAACCAATGGCTTCAGCCATATCTTGTTTAGGTCAAGCTATTTCAACATAGCTTAATTGTAATCAAAAAGATAAAGAACTTACAAAAACTTATGGATCTCAGCCGTCTAATGTGTGACATACAGCATAGCGACTCCGTGACTAGACGACACTTCATTCTAAGTGCTTTAAAGAAGGATATGAAGGAATATCTTACAAACACAAAAGTTGATACCTTCTTATTTGGCTATAAATTGGCTGAAACAATAAAATCGACCGAAGCTGTTAATAAATCAGACATAGACCTAAAGGTGGTTTCTGATGGTACCAAAAACCTGCCAAGAAGAACCGACATTCTTCCTTCAAGGCCTTTAAACCGGAGAGCTCCAGCACCGGCACGCAAGCAGCCGGGCATGGGAGCGAGATTCCGTCAGCCTGCCGCAGCACGACCCTTGATTCTCCCAACGCAGCCGGCTGGGCACATAGCGACGTCGTGGGTTCCACCACCACCGCAGCCGCCGTCGCCACCTCCTCCGACACAACATCTACGTCGTCGTTACTACGTACGTCGTTACTAGATACGTATATTCCAGTTAAGTATGCAGGTCGTTTAACACACTTTTATGATCAATGGTCTATTATCACAAATGTTCACTTGATCCTTTCATGGATTAAGGGTTACAAAATAATTTTTTCGTCACCTGTTTATCAAGAATCATACAGATTCAGAAAAATATCAATATATTGATGCAATTAATAATCTTCTACAAATTGACGCTGTTTCAGAGTGTATACCTTATAAGGGCAGTTTATATCTAATATTTTTAATATAATACAAAAACTTAATGGCAAAATGAGGCTCGTATTGAATCTCAAAAGATTAAATAAATTTATCCAAACGGATCATATACGAATAATATTTATTTACGAAGAATTAGAAGATTTACGAACTGCATTAAAATTAATATCAAAAGATTTCTATATGGCAACATTAGATCTTAAAGACGCTTATTTTTTAATAAACATTCATAATGAATCTAAAAAATATATCCGATTTATTTCTGACAATAAATTATATCAATTTAATGTTTTGCCTCTTAGTTTAGCTACCGCACCTTACATGTTTATTAAATTAATGAAGCCGATTACTAGACTTTTAAAAACTGGCGATTTTTTATTTACCTTATACTTAGATAATTGGTTTTTATTGGGTAATTCTTATCAACAATGCTTGACAAATATTGAGATGACTTCCAAACTACTATCTTCCTCAGGTTTTACAATTA